GGGAACATGTTGACATGGTGCTGTCTGCGTGGTCCAGAGACAGAGGCTCCTACCTGAGCTGGCACTGGCAACAGGATGGGCTCCTGGCCTGGCTGGTGCACACTCACTGCAGCATCCCTGTCCTCACCTGGAAGGCCAGCCCGTCCCCCCGTGTGGCTTGCTGCAAAGGGACACAGGTGATCACAGCATTGTCTGAGGATGGAGGACCACCAGCACCACCCGTGGTGAACATACACCACCTCTGGGTGCAGCAGCTCCTTGGCTGTGCCCAGCAGCTCATGCTGGTGGCCAGTTCCCACTACCTTGTTAATCTCCTTGTGTCTCTCCTTGCTGACAATTTCTTCCAGAACTTCTCCGTCTCCCTTAATGAGCCTGGAAGACAAGCACAAGCCCACGAACCTTGAGAGCTACTGGCAAGTTCCTGCAGCTGCAGAAGGTGCTGACCCCCACCCCACCCTGAGCCCCCAGCTCCCTCACAGCCCAGGACCAGGTGCTGGGCTGATGCACCTCTAGGCAAAGCCAGTGATGACCTACCCTTGACATTGCATTATGTGATTTTTTTTTTTTTGGCTGTATCAAGCTTAAATAGCACAGCAGGTTTTTCCATTGCTCCCATGGGATTAATGTCACCATGCTACAGTAAGGACAGGTGCAGTCCCCTGAGAAATCAGCATGGGCCAGCCAGCCCTGCCCCAGGCTGTGGGCACTGCCTGCTGTTTGCAGTCACACTGCCTGAGAAAACACATCATAAAAGCATCTCCTGCCACCCCAAAAATCTGCAGGCTTCACTGTCAACAGCAGTGCCCCAACCCCTGCAAAGCCTTTTCCTTTTTTTAGAGAGTTCAGGTGTGGTCCTGGCTGCCCCAGGAAACTGCAGAGCCATTGAGAAACAGGAGCCAGTTTGGGCCTGAAATGCAGCCAGGCTGGGGAGCATCTTGCTAAGCAAATTCCAAGCAGTGTTGGAGGCGGCTCACACCTCCAAACACGAACAGAAATTTAATTGTCTTCATTATGTGCCTTACAGGGAACCGACCTTTGTTCCACACCTCCCTGAGCCCTGCAGGCTGCCTTCTATTTTAAGACTGGACTTGTCATACCCAATTCTCTTCAGCATGATGTTTTCTGCTGGCTGAGAAGACTCAGTTTATTAAAAACTGGGTCATTTCTATTTGGCAGCTAAATGAACTTGGGTTTGATTGTTGTCTGTAACCCCACAGGGCACACACTCCTTCCTCACTTGCACCCAGAGCTGAAAGGTGAGTGGATGCAGCAGTGGGATGCCAGGACACAGCCCAGTGTCCCTTGTGTGGAGCCCCAGTACAATTTGATAATTTGGTGTCACTTTCTGGGTAAGTTACACCAGGTCTGACAGGAGGGGACCTGTGAGGGGTCAAGCTCAAGCCTTTGCTGCTCAAGGGGACCTGGGTCCACACATGGTACTGCAGTGCCATGGACAGGCGTTCTCCAGAACTCCAACCCACACAGCATGGATAGGGAAGGACAACCCCCCTCCTTTCTCCCCAGGGATCATACCTGGTTCTCCCTGTTTCGGGATCCACGACTCTCCTTATGACACTCTGCCTCGCGTCCCATTCTTCCTTTGTCATTGGCTTCATAGCCTGGATCCGGGATTTCTGTTCATCTGTCAAAACTGGAATGCACTGGTCAGTCAGAGCCAGCTCCAGGGCCAAATCCAGGCACAGCCCTGCGGCTGCAGCCAATGGATACACACCCCACACCAGATTCCTGGTGGGGATCAGTGGTGAACCTCTCAAAGGAAGGGCCACTTCACATCCCAAAGGCAGGACCAGCTCTGCCAGGATGTTACTGCTGACTCTGTCCTTCTATCTTTGTTCCCCACTCACACCTATGAACTACATCTGAACACTTCCCAAAAGAACATCTCAGCGTGGCTCCTACGTTTACTGGTATGGCTCAAAGGTGGCCACAGTATGTAGGAGGGAAGAGAGCCTGGGGCTCCTCCCTGTACACAGCCCTGCTTCTCTCAGACACCTCACGGGGTCCCAGGAAGGGATCAGCACAACTCCAGTGTGCACAGGCTTCCAGGAGGGAAACACTGTCATTACCTGGCCCAGAGTCCTCCACTGATTCCTTCTGCCACTGCTCCAGCGAGGGGCCAGGCACCTCTTCTCCCTTGGCTTTCTCCTCCTTAGCCTTTTCCTTTGCCTTCTTTTTTAATTTCCTTTTTAATTTCTTCTTCTTCTTCCTCTTCTTCTTCTTTTTCTTGTCTTTCTGTTTCACTTGCTTTTTTTTGCCATGTTGACTCTTCTTTGTTTTGGAGTCACTGTCACTGGAGTTGTCAGAAGAGGGGCTGGAGGAAGAGGAGGACGAGGAAGAGCTGGTGGATGAAGATGCTGTCTCAGAGGAAGAGGTACTGGCCTTCCTCTTCTTTTTGTCCTTTCCTTCCTTCTTCTTCTCTGCAATACATAAGCAGAGGGTGAGTGGAGCAGCTTTGGCCCTGCAGCAGCAATGTTGGTTACCCCCCTCCCAGCCTGGTTTCTTTCTTGCCTGGAAGACCCTTCTGTGCCAACACTTTTACCACATGATGGTGTGTGGTGCTGCAGTGCCAGATCGGCATGTGGGGGGGCTGCAGGGCTCTGCACTTGTCAGAGTGAGACCAAAATGGGCATAATGTGCAGGGCAAGGTGACAGAGACCGATTTAGCTTAACCCAGGGACCTTCTTCTCCCATCCGGGCCCCTCTGTGCACCCACCCCAGGAAAAACATGGAGTCATGGGCCTTCCCCACCTTCCCTGGCTGCTGCCAAGCTCGACTTGTGTCCATGAGAGCCAGCGTTCCTCTTCCTTGGAGGAGAGCTACTGCCCTGCTGTGAGTCCTTGCTGCTTTTCCTCCTTTTCTTCTCCTTCCTCTCCTGCCTGCTCCGAGAGCTGCTTTTGCTCCTGCTCCGCGACCGCTTCCGAGACTGGCTGTGGGCCATGGTCAGCCTGGAGGGGACAGGGACATCAGTGCCATGGGGGGACCAACCCCCACAAACCTTAAATCCACCTCTGAGCCAACCAGCCCTGCTCCTGTCAAACTCCCTCCCTTGGATATCCCCTTGGAGAGATGGGTCAGGGTCCCCTCACGAAGCCACAGCCAAAAGGAATTTCACCAGTCCACAACATGGAGCCCTCGGGGTAGAGCCAGCACAGGGACAGCACTGCTGTCCCCAGGCAGCCCTTTCCACCTCAGACAACCTGTCCCCAAGCAGGTTTTCCACTAGGAAAACCCTCCATTGGGGTTTCCCCCCAATGTTCCTATTTATCCCCAGAGAATCAGGCTGATCCCTGCTATGGGCAGGCACTGAGGGGCCTGAGGTTGGTGTTTGCAGGCCCTGCTGTGCCCCACAGTCACCCCACAGCCCTGGGAGCCGTTGGGAAGACGCTGCACCACAGCCAGACTCTGGGAAGGGATGATGGATGCTGCAGCCACAGCCATCAGGACTAAACATCCTCCCAAGCTGAACACGGAGTCAATCACCCCATTATTTAAAATGCTGAGAGCAGGCACAAGCCAAGGGGAAGAATGAATTTTTAATATTCCAATTTGCTTTTAGAAAACAGATTATGCACTGAGCTGGCACCCCTGTCCGTCAGCCCGAGGGTTCCTGGCAGCCACAGGCCAGAGCCAGAGTGATTCCTGCTCCCATTAATTTAGAAAACAAACTGGCACTGTGGGCAGAGCAGGAGCTGGGAAATGCTTCCTCACAGCCACCTTCCAACTACCACATCTTAATTAATTGTTTGTTTACCATCCTGACGCTCCCAGGCAGCAACTTGCTCCCAAAGGAATCAGAATTTTGATTGATTTCCAAAGGGAAATTTCAGTCAGGAAAAAAACCAAACCAAAACAATTAAGGGCAGGCAGGGAAGGTCCAGAGGGTGAGAGTCCTCCATGGACACACACCCAGCAGCCATTCCCTCGACCCCTTGTGCAGGATGGGGTCTGGGAGTCGAGGCAGCAGGACCCACGTTATCCAACCCCAGCAGCTGGATCCATGGATATGGCAATACCTCAGACAGGAGCATCCCGGTGAGTGCAAGGGGATACTGCGGGAAGGGGACGAATCCCAAATCCACCCCACAGCACCTCAGGCTGTCTGTGCCCCAAAGCTGGGCTCTCATCTGAATGGGGGCACTTTGGGGCAGCTTCTCCTGCCCACGCGGCTCTGCCCGGCCCGGCTGCTGCTCTGCCCCTGCCCTCCTGCCCCAGCACGGGGAGCCTGGGAAATACAAGGCGTGCTGGCCCTTTAAGAGCTCAGCATGAGGTGCACTGGCCCTTTAAAAGCTCCCCACAAGGTGCGCTGGCCCTCTGAGAGCTCAGCACAAGGCGCAGTGACTCTTTAAGCACCCGCGCAAGGCGCGCTGACTCTTTACGAGCTCAGCAAGAGGCGCTCTGGCCCTTTAAGGATTTAAACGCTCACGGCGCGGCCCCTTTAAGAGCGCGGCTCTTTATCGGCCCCCCTGGGCCCGGGTGCCGCCGCAGCGCGGGGGGCTGTGTCCACCACAGCACCCGGTGTCTCCAGTCCCGTGCAGGTACGAGGAGCGGCAGGGAGGGAAAGAGGGAAGGACGGACGGACGACGGACGGACGGACGGACGGACTCACCGGGCCGGGCCGGTCCCGCTCCCGCCGCAGGGTCCGCGCCTGCCGTCCCCCGCTCCCGTCCGTCGCGCCGGGGCCGGGCGGCAACCGGGCCGCGCTCTTTGGTTCCGGGGGGCGCTGGGACCGCACGGCAGCTCAATTTTGGGGGGGAATTCGGGCGGGCGGGGAGCGCGCGCGTTCGCTGCTGAAAGAGGTGAAAATTTCGAGACTGAGTTTCTTGATGTCGGCTCCAGGCACAAATACAGCAGCCGGTTTCCTTGCCCAGGTGCGATTTTAATGGGCTTTGCTAACGAGCAGCTCATCAGCCGTGTGCCAATGGCACCCCCAGCCAAAAATCCAGCGGGTCCCTCGCGAGGGCTTAAAATAACACCCTGATGCACCCAGCTTGGGAGAGTTATTTTGTATTTTCACTTGCTCATATAGCTAAAGCAAAGGGAGTTAAATGTAAAGTTTTGCTGTGCTGCAGGTCACTCCCAGAGCTTTGTCTCTGTTTCTGCCTACTGGAAATTTGTGCTCAGAAGGGCTTGTGGAAGCCTGTGGAAATCCTCTCAGCCACCCTGTGGGATCAGCTCTCCCTATATATTGCTCCTGATGGATTCTTCTGAGCCTGGGCTAGGCAAACCTCCAGTGATAGTAATTCCCTGCCATTCCCAGCAGCCTATTGTGAATCACCTGGATCTCATTTCTGAGCAGATCCTTCTCTGTCACTCAGCAATAAAAAGCTCTTCCCCTGCCCCTGGAAGAGGACAGGAGACCACTGAGAACAGCAGAGAGTGGTAAGTGTAGGGCTTTAATCACCATTCCTTCCCATTTCCAGCAGGACCTGGGATGCTGCTATTGGCACAGAGGCCAAGGATCTTCAGGTGTTTTCCCTGTACACCTGAAAATATTTACTAAGTCTCTGTAGTGCACCAAAGTGTTGGGGCTTTCTCTGTCTTACAGTCCTGTAGCCCCAGAGTGAGCCCTGGTGAGCTGAGTTCCAGCTCTCCAAGCTCCCCTAACCCTGGCAGGGCTGGCTTTGTATCCTTTTCCATGGTGAGATCTACTTCTTACAGGACTCCTGCATCCATCAGAGTCTGTTAGTGCAGTCTGAGAGGTCAGAGAGGAGCTTTAGGCAACGTGGTCTGCAGAAATTGTGTTTTCCCATCCCCTACCACAGGGCACAGACATCCACGGTCTCGGGCACGTCCTCTTCCAGGGTTCCTGTGAACCCATCCCCAAATCCCTCTGCTTCCACCAACCGGGGTTTGCTGTTGCACATGGGGCAGAGCTGGTTTCGGATGAGGGATGATCTCATCCACACGATGAGGTTCCAGCGCTCCCCGGAGCCGATGGGAAGCGCCCCATGGATCTGCCCTCCCCGGTGGAGCAGCCCCTGGGCTCCCACGTGTTCCACCTCCAGGTACTTCGGCACGGGACTGGGATCCTGGAACAAAGGGAGGTGGATTCATAATTGCACCAGAAAGTACCTGGCAGAACAACACTCACACAGTTGACACTTATCACCTTTTCCCCCAGGGAGCAACATAGAGAGGACAAACTGCACCTCTGAAACACTTCAATGGTGGCTTGGCAGCAGATGGGTACGACTGTTTTCCAGTAGGACATTCCCAGTTTCAATCAAAACAACCTGTTTCACCTGTGTATGAGAGCTATTACCCTCTCTTGCCCTAGAAACAGGTGCTACAGATTTAGCTTTAAGTCTCATTTGAAATAAATCTCTCTCTCAGGACCTCCCTGCTCACTGTTTCAGCTGTGGAAAGATGGGCTGGTTTGTTTACTCCAACTTCTACTACAAGCTGCCTCTGTGCTCTCTTTGAAACCTGAATATTGGAACAGAAAAGGCTTCTATATAACCAAAACATGTAAAAAAGAGGGAAGGGACAGAGCAGGTTTGACTGTCAAAAGTGAATAATTGTTTTTTAGAACACAGTTTATGCCTTGAAACTGGGGGGGGGAGGGGGGTGTGAGGAGGTGGAGGGGAATGGAATGGAATGGGGGTCCAGAGTGGGAATGTGCTCAGTACCTTGTAGAATTCCCCAAAGTACAAGTTGCCTTCTGTGAAGTCTTTCCCCAGTGAGACATTTAAGGTGACTTCTGCATTGTCATAGTGGGAGCTCAGATCCAGGTCCTCGTGCAGGGAGTACTTGACCACAAAGGCTCTGTGGCTGTCCAGGCAGGATCCCCCCAGCTCAGGGTACAGCAGGGCCGTGATGGGCCGCAGGAACTGCTCCCTCAGGGGGGTCAGGAAGCCCTCATCCATCCCAAGCTCGTTCAGCAAAACCTGTGTCAAAGAGAGGAGGTGGGAACAGCTGAGCAACATTATCAAAGCTGTCCTCCTCCTCCAGCCCTGCTGCTGGCTCAGAGCAAGAACTTTAGAGCAAAGGCTCCAGCTACAGGAGAAAGGAGGAAGATCAAGGTGGAAAGGGATGGGGGAAAGACACAGCAAGATCAAAAGGTGAGTGTTCTTTAAAAACTGACTCCTTGATTTAAATGGGTATTGCTTAAAAATACAAGGTGCTCTTTGCTCTGAGGTACCAACTCCCATCCCCTTTCCCTGCATTCCCATGTCCTTTTGTCTGTGTAACATTCCCTCAACCCTTTCCCTCCAAGGGGGTACTGGAACTCCAACTGCTCTGTGTAAAATGACAGACACTTTGGAAGTGAAAGGAGAAGTGAGGAGGTGAACAGAGTGAACACTCCCCCAGAGAAGCACAGGAGACAAATCCTACCCCGTAGTTATTCATGGTGTTGGGCCTGCCTTTGGGCATGTCCGACTGCTCAAAGTTCTCCAGCTCATCCACAAAGGTCTGGCAGAACCCCTCTGTGAACACTGGGAGTCGATAGATCCTCTTATCTGTCAGGAGAAGGGAGACACCATTTGCTGGGGAAGATCACAGGTGAGTGTTCCTGCCTGCCTGTCCAGCTCCACTGTGCTGGTGGCAGTGAGAGCACAGGACCCTCGTGCTTCACTTTGTGCTCAGGCTGCTCGGAGGGCTGGAACCATTCCCCAGGATGTATTTGTTATTTTTCATGTTGGTCCCTCGTTTCCAGGCTCACCCACCCAGTCAGGAGATCTGGCACTGGTTTGAATGACAGATGTAGTGCCAAGGAAGTGTTTTGAGTCTGGAGGGAGGTGAATCAATGACTCATCACAGGCAGGCTGGAAGGACACTCAAGGTCATTTAGGGGCTGTGAGACTCACTCATCTGGTGCCAACCTTCTGGAAATACCAGGTCTGAGCTGCCTCTCAGGGCAGAGCCCTAAAGGTCTGTGTGAGGGGAGCTCAGGGCTGAGGATACAGAAGCTGAGATTAAGACAGCAGGAGAAGGCTGGAAATCGTGCCTTGGACAAATTCAGGAGCTCTGCACAGACACATTTGGGTCTCTCTTTTCATCTTGAGAAAGGAGGAAACTTTGCCTCTTCCCCTCTACATTTTGTCAGCATTTCTGGTAGGCAGAGAGCTTCACAGATGCCTCCAGAGAAGCTTAAAACCCAGAATTCTTTTTAGAAGACTGAAATTATTTCAGCCCAGACTAACCCACAGGGATTGTCTGAAATGGCAAAGCACTTGGGAAGGGAAAAACAAGCTTCCCAGGCTAACAGTGTTCCTTCAGGCTCCCTGGTGAGGTGGTGGCACAGCCAAAAGCCCCAGCACTGCTGCAGCTGAAGCCTCTGGTGAGACATCAGCAGACTGGGATGGGATGGGAAGGCAGAAAAGAGTGTCTGCTCCAGAGCAGAACTGCTGCACAGCACTGCCCCTCCAGAGACCCCTGTCTGGCAGAGAATAACATCCAGTTTGCCTCAGCCTGTGTCAAATCCGAGCTACTACAGACAGGGCTTGGGAACAGCTGTCACCAGGGAAGCTGCAGCGTCACAGAGGGAGATCTGTGTGACTGAGGTGTTGTTTCCTTTACCTGAGAAGGACTCGAGGTAGCCCAGGAGGCCCTGGAGATGAGCTCCCGGCGATGTGCAGTATCGCACGATCTCCAGGAAATCTGGGGCCAGGAAGGAATCCTGGTGGCAAGGGAAGGAGGGAAAAAAACATACAGAAACACAATTAGCCAGTACAGCCTTTTATGACCCTAGAGAGAAATGGATTTCCAGGGAGCCACAAGGGAAATGTGCAGTCTCTAGGGAGAGGGCTGATAGTCACACTGGGGTTACTTCTATGGCAGGAACTGCAGAATGTTTCTGTGTTTTACTTGGGGGTTTAGGTAAGTTTGAGGGTTTCTACATAAAACTGGCCAGATTTCTTATAGGCATGACAGGAAAGAGCCTGGCTCACAATATGGATTCCTAACAGGTAAGTGCAAAATCTTTCCTAGTGGATTTTATCCTCTTGTCATGGAATCAGCACAACGGAGTGACTGGGCTCTGCTTTGAGCACTTCCCCACACTGATGATAACAAACAACAGCAGCACTTATTGCTGGAGGATCACAGTAAATCTGTGTGAACTTGGTTGTGCATTACTGCTATCTGTGGGAACTATCCAGCTGGGAAGTCTTGAGTCTGGCAAGCATGAGGAAATTCAAAGCAAAGTAGCCCATAAAGGCTGTTTTCTGTGGCTCCTCATTAGACCTGATCGAGCCTGTTTGGTGCAATGATGCTTTATGTTTAAATTACTAATGGTATTTCAAGTCCAGTACCAGGTGCTGGAGCAGCTTCCATATGGAATGACCCTTTCCTGGCTGTAAACCAGGTGGAATCTTGCCTGGAGAACATGCTGTGCTGTCAAAGTTTTAAATTCAGTTTTAATATGCTACACACGGGTTTAAATTCCGTCCAGCTTTAGCACTGCATGATCCCGAGGAGAAGAGAGAAAAATAAACTGCAAAAATAAACTCTCAGGTAATTCCTTGGGTGCAAAAGAGACTCCAAACACACTGTGTACCTGCAGAGTGTACACCTCTGGGTGTTTTGGTTTGTAGCACTTGGAGATGATGGCTCTGCATTCCACTGACTGATGGACTAACTGTTTTCTTCTCTGCACTTCTGCCTCAATCTGCAAATAAACAACAGAGCATATTGTGAGAAAATCAAAAGGGACAACTAAAACAATTCCAGGAATTTGCTCATTGTTTTAAACCAGTTATTTTTGTTTCAGGCACCTCTGGGAAGTGGAGTCTGTGCTTTTGTTTTTCTGTAGTCAAGACAAGCCCAATAAATATCTGAAAAGCCAAATGCCTGAGAGGGTTTGGAGAGACTTTCTCTTTACAGATGGCTTAAAAAAAACAACTGAAGCCTTTCTGTGGAAGTGCCAAGTGGAGCTGTGAGGTTTCAGCCCTTTCAGGCATCCTGACACCTCCTGAATTGTCAGTGGAGGCTTTAAGAGCCTTGGCTTGTGTTCTGACAATATAAGCATTGTCCAAAATAAAGACACTTGCTGGGAGGGAGACAAGTCTTGTCATGAAGGGATTACTGCTAAATGTGGTGGAGACAGGCTAATCTGTCCTTTCAGAGCAAACAGCTGTTTTAGCAGCTGATTCAGCCAGCCCTTCCTGTTTAATTCCCCTTCATAAGATTAATTTATAACATTCCTCACTAAAGAAGGAAGGAGGGTGTGACCAGTTTCCCTCCTGACCCCTGGTTAGGATCACTAATGCATTTTATGAGGTGAGCAGCAATTCTCTGGTCATCTATTCATTCCCTTTCCCTCATTATCAGGCCCTGAAGGTCTTGTGAACCAAGCAGACAAACCACACAGATTCCTTCTCCTTCTCCTTTCCAGCCTCAAGGCCAATCACTCCCTTCCTTGCTGGCCTTGAAGGGCCCAGTCCCCTGGTCACCAGGTGCTGTTGGTGACCTTGACAGGGAACAGGGAACTGTAACAGCCCCCAGCACTGCCTACAAAATCAGGCAGTTACAAGTCCTAAGTGGGAAACTTCAACTGGAACAGCTGCTGGACAGTGAGAGCCATGACCTCCCACAGCCAGGGACACCTCTGATGGCAGGAGACATACTCCTCTGAGGGCTGAATGAGTAAATCCTATTCTTTTATATTATTTTTGAGACTACATTATGTTTACATTGATACAGCAAACCTTTGTATTAAGATCTTAGCAAATTTGCAGAGTCCAGGTGATTAGGGAGTTATTAGGATCTAGGTGATATTAAATTACAACTAAAGTTTGAATCTAGAAATCCTGAGAGAAGTTGTATTATAAATTCTGCTTGTTGTGCTGCATTGATTCTGCCTGTAGAAATCCTGTGCTGTCCTACTCATAAATTCTGTGCTATATGAATCATAATATCCTGTTCGTAAAGCTTTAATTATGATTTACTGCCATCATCACTCTGCCAAAAATCCCTAAAGGAACCTGTCTGTCCTCCAGGTGAAATTAGAGCTGGTTGTGTGACAGATCTCTGTCCCTGGCCTGGGAAGGGGCACAGATACCTTAATAAAGGGTGTCCTGGGAGGAATGTGAACCTGTAGGACCCCTGGGTGATCCCATCTCAGGGCACTCTTTAAAAACAATTGGCAAAAGAAAGGACAAGGAAAGGCAAACTAGAAGGGGGCTGGGAGCCAGCTGACTAAATCCAAGGAGGGAGCAGCACAGAGGCCACTGGGACAAAGTGTTGGGTGACAGTATTTAATTCCAGGGTGTTGGCTGTGTAAACAGCTCCCCAGCAGTGCCTGGGGAGAATTCTTTCCTCTGACCTCTGTCCAGCACTGGAGTTGACTGGGACGAGGTGCTGGGGAGCTGTGCCCCAATTCTGTCTGGGCTTGTGGCTTCAGCAAGTCCCAAACTCCCTTTAGGGTTGACCCCGGCCCCAGGACCCC